AAACCATGGAGACTATGCAGCGAGATGCTGCTCGCCAAGCAGAAGTTACCGCCCGATAGACAGAGGTTATAGCTCAGCAGGCAGAACTAATTGCTAGGCTTCAACAACAGCAGCAACAACAACAAGCCGAAGAATCCACTTCGCATCCACCTCCACCCCCACCTAAGGTTCCAACACCCGGGGAAACAAGACGTTCCAACAGGGCCAGTCCCACCGCCAATCCCACCTTAGATGTCTAAAGCACCAGCTAATCCAGTGGACACGCCGTTCGAATTTGAGGTTGATCCAACCGCTCTGAAGGTGAGTAAGCTTGAAAAGTTGTTCAAGCGGGCCCAGGGAGTTAACTCGATCTCGGACATAGAAGATGGATACACGGATTCGGCGGTGACATTGCCGGACAAATTCAAAATGCCCCACATAGATCGTTTCGATAGCCCGGGTGATCCTACGGTTCATTTGAGGCTGTTTTCTGATATTCTGCGCCCGATGGGCTTGACAAGACTCCAAAAACTATCACTCTTCAGTCAGACCCTATCGGGTATTGCGGCCATTTGGTACGCCAAGCTGGAGGACTCAGTGAAAAGGAGTTGAGAGGAGATGGCTGAGGCCTTTGTCGCCCAATGTTCATATAATACCCAGATCGAGGTCACGACTGGTGATCTTGAGGTGACCCGGCAAGAGCCGAGAGAAGGCTTTTCTGACTTTGTCACTCGATGGAGGGCCAAGGCCTCCATGATGACAACTCGGCCACCCGAAAAGGATCAGATAATGATGGTTGCACTACTAAAAAAGTGACTTTTTGCGTCTAATTTTTTGCGACCCACTGTTTAACCGTCGCAAAAAGAAAACATTTTTGGAAATGATCTGTGCCAAAAGCCATATTTTACCCCTATTTTTTATTCCCTTCACTGACCCCAATTTATTTTGCCCTTTTGTTACACTCACCTATGCCCTAAGCCCCTTTCACTGTCATTTTCACGACATTGATAAACAGAGAGGTCTCTCTCTAGCTCTCTCGTACTCTCTCTCTCTCTCGCTCTCTTCGCTCGCCATGGTCGTAACTCTAGTGGTATGAATCTCTCTCTCTCTCTCCTTTCTCTCTCTATATATACATACATATTTGTATATTTATATATGTATATATATTGTGGATTGCAGGTAGAGTTCTTCGTATGCTTGGTATTGACGATCTTAGGTTACATGCCTGGAATAGTTTACGCTCTCTATACGATGCTCTGTGTTGATCGTGATATGACTCGCTCCGATTACCGTCCACTCGCCTAGTCTCTGCGTGTGTGTATGTGTGGAAATCTGTGTGTTTAGCTGTAATCTCATGGTATTATACTCTGGCCCTATGTGTGAAATCAATTTGAATGAGTTTAAACTCTTGCTATTTGATTGAGTTGCTTTGATTTAATTCTATTCTTCTCTTATTTATTTCTATTTCAAATACCTGTGTATAGATTTTGGAGTGATTTGAACTCATGATTGATCTAACTCTCTCTCAGCTACGAAGCTTTGGTTCGAATCAATCCTTTTGCTATATTTTCATATGTATATATATATATATATATATATGTCTGTGTTCATTCATTGCTGAGTAACTTTGATTTATACCGAGATTCACATATTTTAATGCTTTGGTCATTGCTGAGTAACTTTAATTGCTGAGTAACTTTGACTACCATGCTTGAGGTAAGTTTAATGCTGAGTAACTTTGATTTAATTTCAATATTTTCTAGGTTAATGCTTTGGTCATTGCTGAGTAACTTTAATTGCTGAGTAACTTTGACTACCATGCTTGAGGTAAGTTTAATGCTGAGTAACTTTGATTTATACCGAGATTCACATATTTTAATGCTTTGGTCATTGCTGAGTAACTTTAATTGCTGAGTAACTTTGACTACCATGCTTGAGGTAAGTTTAATGCTGAGTAACTTTGATTTATACCGAGATTCACATATTTTAATGCTTTGGTCATTGCTGAGTAACTTTAATTGCTGAGTAACTTTGACTACCATGCTTGAGGTAAGTTTAATGCTGAGTAACTTTGATTTAATTTCAATATTTTCTAGGATTTGGAACGATGCATTCATGTGCCCCTCGCAATTTCTGTTCTTCGCAATTTCTTCAAAGGTACTCGATTTGTTCTTCGCGGTTTCATTTCATTTAGTTACAATTTACAGTAGAGAATGGCTTTGTTCACACTTTCTTCTTCCCTTGGATCATTTCAATTGAAGCCATATTTATATGCATTTTAACTTGTTGAGATTATATTTCAATGTGCCTTATGTTAGTCCACATTGAGTAGGAACGAGATTATCCTTACTTGGGATGTCACGTTCATGGGACATGATCCACCAAAAGCAGAACATAAAGGGAAATGGTGTCTAAAATCTCACAACAGTAATGCACACTCACACTATACGTAAGTTGAGAACCCAGCAAACCATGTACACAACATCTGGCATTCTAAGTTAGAACATTTGACTTAGGCATCTTGCTTTTGCTGAGCGTTCATATTTTCCGGCGGCCATCTCCACCCCCACACATTTATGTAAATTAAATTGTCTAATACTTTTTATCTACAAGTTGTTTTGTATTTCACATGTGGTGGAGCATCAAGATTGACAAGAAAACATCCTCATCCACTATGGAAGACTTCGCAATTGATAGCTGCTGAATGCTTCAGAGCTCTGGTGCAAGGAGCTTTAGATTGGTGAGAATTCTATAGACATGCACACTTGAAAAAACAGTGTGCTTGCTGGTTTATATTTCACATGATCGAATAGTTGATCATCTTTTTTAAATTTATGGAACAGGTTTTTTGTGGTTTATATTTCCTTTCTTTCGTAACATAAGGCTTTGTTTAGATCTTGATTTGTGAAGGAAAAAGATTCCTTTGTAGGATCATTTCTTCTGCAACTTTGCAAAGTGAGTTTTACCATTGTTTCAATATATATATATATAATAATAATAATAAAAAATATATATATATATATATAATAATAATAATAAAAAATATATATATATATATATAATAATAATAAAAACAAAAATAAAAACCAAATGTCAACAACATTAGGCACATAGAAAGTTATGTATACCAATTCAAGTATACTATACCTGGTTAAAAAATAGGAAATTCAAGAGAACCATTCTGGATAGGATGAAGCACAGATCCACCTTCTCTATAATTAAATATCTTCAAGTTTAAGCTATGGGTTTTGTTGGTGGTTTAGTTGAGCCATTACACTACTACACTATTAGAGGAGATGTCTGACTCCTTTGTGCATGGACATGTGGCTCTTTACAGATCCTTGAAGTAGCTTCAAAGGCACTCATTTTAACAAACAATATATATATGCATATCTCCTGATCTATATATATATATAGTTACACATTAAACATGTTTTTTTCCTGATCTTTGTTATTTAACTACTGATAGTTCTGTATGCAAGTGATTTATGTAGTTATTTGATTGCATGATTTCTTGGGTGACTGCATGATTCTGATTTGTTTTATATGGATCTGCTTTTGTTGGTTTTATATTTGTTGTGATGGATTGAACAAGTTTGAGATACCTGTAATTTAAGCACTTTGTTGTTGAGAAGTTCTTTTTAAAACTGTTTTATGGAGATGGGCTGAATAAAATTTTGGTGGAAGAAGATTATTTGGGAAAATTGTCTCGTATGGAAGGCAGTTTGTGATAACATTTTGACTACTGATTTCTTGTGGCGAGGATATTAATTAGCCCTTTTGACTTATTAAATGGCTCTACTTATTTTGGAAAGTTATATGCAAATCTGATTTTCAGGAGTTGGATCACCTAATAATACATTTGTGCCTTCAGTCAGGCCTTTTATTTTGCTAGATTTTGGGGGTCACATGGTTGTATACTTCCTTAGTCAAAGGAGTTTTCTTATATAGAGGATGATTTTGGATGAATTTTTTCTTTCGATGCACTCTTTTTTTTCTTCCCGTGTTTTTCTTATGGTCAATTTGTATAGCCTTCATGAAGTAGAAAAACTATAAATATTTAAGTTTGCATACTAAAAAAGACAAGTAGTAAGGATGGCCAAAGGAAAGGGTAAGGCAAAGTAGGAAGATTCAGAAGTTCAACAGGAAGATTTAGAATTTCAACCTGGATAGAAATCTAGAACTCAATCTCCAGAAAGGAATAAGGTCATAAAAGAATATTGTCCTAAAGAAAGGTATGATCACATCCATGTTCAGAAGAAACCAGCAACATATACCTCAATCCTTCTTAAACAGCCTCCTGTATTGGAATTCCTAGCTAACCAGAAAGGCAAAGGGGGCAAGGCAGAGCAGAAGATGCTCATTTTTTAAAGCAAACTGAGTGCTTCAACTTAAAAATTTTCGTGCAATATGGTGTTTGTCCTTCCTTAGTTTTTTTAGGGCTAAGAAAGGGCAATCATCCTACATTCATGGAGATGTCAAAGAGAATGAAGAAATACCAGAAATTTTATAGGATTCCTATCAGCAAAAGCCTTTCCAGCCTACAGACATCGGTCTATCTATAATTGTGCTAAGGGATGAATATGAAGACTGAAATGTATCAGCCACAGAAAGTGTCATCTTTGAGAAGCCAAGTCTAGAAGCCAGGAACCACCTTCGTCCTTTGTAAATCACAAGATTGCTAGATAGTATTCCATCCAATAGGCTCCTGGTAAACAACCAATCTCATGCCAAAAGCTATGATACAAAAACTGGGCAAGATAGAGAATTTCTCTAGGAATCTAACGCCAACATTACAAACTTTGTATGAGGGTCAATAATTTCTCAAGGAATCTTGATCATGAACTTAGTTATGGGAGGGAAAACCCTAACTAAAATAGTGGAAGTTTTTTTTGCTAAAAATTGGAAGTTTTTTTTGTGAATGTGCTCTATAGACAGGGCGGCCCATACTAAAATAGTGGCCCATGACTGCAGCATGGAGGCTGTCACTATTAACCGACATCAACCAAATACAGTTCTATTGCTATATTAAGTCTGCATTTTATGTTTAGATCTACCACAAATATGTTGAAACACCAAACCTTTTGCTGCAGGATTCTGTTGATTGTCCGGAGTGGATTGTTCCTTCTCATGTCTTCAAATCATTGGCAGAAGAGGTATAAACATGTTAGTCTATCCCTTCTGTCTACTTAAAAGTGGTCATCTCTTCTTTTAAACACGGAAATGGTGTTGTGAAAAAGCCTATATACTTTGGATTGGCAACAATTGAAGTGCTAGACTGTCCTAGTGAGTTATGCAGTATGATTTGGAGCTAGTTTTTGTAAAAATTCGCATGTATTTGTGGATGAATACTTGAAATCAAGTTAGAGTAGATAATATTAAAATGATAGATATATAAATTTATTCACAACAGTCCCTCCAATTTGTTTATCATTTTTCTTTAAGATGTAACAGACATATATTCTTGCCAACTGCAGATTCTTTGCCTCATTGCTATGGAGAAGCCTATTTCTCTTACACCTGAGCATATTTGAGATGAGAAAGTGAAGGTGCATCAATTAGTTTCTTATGTCTTCTACTGATAATATGCCGGTGGTCCCTTTCTATCAATTGGCTCAAGGTTGAAAAACTCTTGGATGCCTTTTCTAGTATGAGAGACATATCAAGATTTAAGTATTTCTTTATTACTATGGAATGGAGAACAAATGCGTGTAAATGAAGGAGCTTTTCCCCTCGTCCTATTGCTTTCATTTCTTGCACAAATGCGTGTAAATGAAGTATATACAAGGTGTTATGCCAGTTCATTGATAGAGTGGAGAAACACCCGAGCAAGAAAATTGATGAGAAGATTGGCCAGTTTTGGATTGTATTTTTTTCATAAAAGAATTTTTTCCAAGTTTTTAGTTGTAATAACTTTTACATATGGCTCAAATTTTGAGACTCAAATAGAATGTTCAATAAAACTATAAAATGCTACACTGTCTGAATTCTTGTCATTGTTATTCCTAGAGTGCTTACTATGGAATGGAGAACAAATGCGTGTAAATGAAGGAGCTTTTCCCCTCGTCCTATTGCTTTCATTTCTTGCACAAATGCGTGTAAATGAAGTATATACAAGGTGTTATGCCAGTTCATTGATAGAGTGGAGAAACACCCGAGCAAGAAAATTGATGAGAAGATTGGCCAGTTTTGGATTGTTTTTTTTTCATAAAAGAATTTTTTCCAAGTTTTTAGTTGTAATAACTTTTACATATGGCTCAAATTTTGAGACTCAAATAGAATGTTCAATAAAACTATAAAATGCTACACTGTCTGAATTCTTGTCATTGTTATTCTCAGAGTGCCTAACGCTACATTTTTATTTATTTATTTATTTTTATTTTTAATTTTTAATTTTTTGCCACGGTAACAAGATGGTCGCCAAAGATCATGTTAGTATTTTTCTTTGTTTTTTGCGACGGCAAAATAGGGGTCGCCATAAGTAGTTTAGGTGGTCGCAAATAATTTGCGACCGTTGCTTTGCCGTCGCAAAAAGTATTTGCCACCCCCATATTCGCGACCCCCATTTGCCGTGGCATGGGCCGTCGCAAAAAGTCTTTTGCGACCGTTTTTTATTATTTGCGACGGTTTATAGCGGTCGCAAAAAGTATTTTTTTTAGTAGTGTTGTACGCAACTTACAACCCAAGCTAATGCAGAAAATGATCATCTTACCCCTCCCCACCTTTGTAGACTTGCACAAGATAAGGGTACAGATTGAAGATGCTATGAAGCAAGGTCTGATCGACCAGGAAAAGGAACAGCCCAAGAGGGCGTTTACACGCGGTTCGAATGCAGCTACAAGTAGTAGTGCCGCCGCAAGAACTTCTGACGTCGGCATGGTCACCACCACTCCAAACACAGCCGTCCATTTGCTGGTACAGCTAACCCAAACCCCCAAACTTCAAACTATCCACGCCGAGGCAAAAGGGTTTTTACCCCACTTTATATGCCTTTGTCTAAAGCTCTAGGGGTCCTACTCAGGAAAGGACATCTCAAACCGTTAGAACAACGGCCTCTACCTGATCCTCTCCCTCCAAAGCATGACCCGACTAAATACTGTGCCTTCCATCAGCAGCGAGGTCACGACACCGAGTTCTGCTTCAGACTACGTCATGAGATTGAAGATCTCATTGACAACAAGGTGATCGCACCTCCCGACAAGCCAAATGTCACTACCAACCCACTCCCACCACATAACCAAGCTCCATTACCCAAGCAAATCAACTTGATCCAAACCACGGCCATCTCGTATGACCCTAGCATATACATCACACCCTTCCACCTGCCTAAGCCTGAGGTGTTCATCCCAGATAGCACAGATTTGTGCATAATGAGTACCTCTCTAACCCAGCCCAAGCCAATGGTGGTGACTATTGAAGATAGAACTGGGATGGCCTTGGAGGAGCATGGAAATGTTGGTTCAGAACCTGACGGATCTGGGAGCTTTGCTGAGGAAGCATACAACCTGTGCGGTTATATTGTGCCAATAGATCAGGCTAAGCCGAGGGTAGAGTTGCCAACTGGGGCAGAGATCGATGTGTTCCAAGAGAACGGACCGAGTCAAGGGCTAGATGACCTAGCAGAGTTGGAGAAGGACATTGCTAACCTACAGTTCTTTAATGAGCAGGATTCGGGGGGTGTGAGCGTCAACTGGTTTGACCTGAATAGAGCAACAGATGCTACAGGGTGGCTCAGTGACGAGCCAGATATTGTTAAGGAGTCTCAGCCGAAACGGGGGCAGTCAGAAATTGGAACATCTACAGTGGCCGGAATGGTCGAGAACAAGGAAGAATCGCCGGAGAGCACCAGTGCAAAGAATTTTGCTCGGGACTTGGGCAGTTTGTGCACAGCAGACACAAAACAGGAGAACGCGTTGCGGCGGTTCGAACAAGAGAAAATCGAGAATGATGACAAGGCTAGAAAAGCCAAGGCACCTAAGGGGGAAGAATGTGCTGTGAGCATGGAAACAACTGCAACAGAGACGAACAATTGTCTGTCGGTTACTGAGGGCATGTGGTGAGAAGACGACGATTTGCGTCTGGCCCATACTGATGAAGACTGGGGACAGAATCTCCCAGATGACACCTGGTATATTGAGGAGGTTGACCATATGACCCGAAGTGGGCGGTATTTCAAGCCCCCACACCTGGACCAGCCAAAGGCATCTGGGAAAGACAAAGAAGTAGAAAAGTAGAAAAACAGAAAGACAAGCTGGTAGAGGAGGAAATTGTACTGAACCAGCTAAAGAAAATTCAAGCAGACATCTCCATCTAGGGACTGCTTATGGCCTCGAGGGTGCATAGACAGGCCATCCTTTCAGCCATGGACAGGGCCAAGCTTTCGATTGATACAACGCCCAAACAGTTGGTAGGACTAGTGTTCCTGGGTGGCACTTCACTGACTCTGACCTTCACAGACAAAGAACTACCGCCTGAGGGCTCCGATCATAACAAGCCGATGTATATCTCTATGGAGTGTAGAGAAAAATGGATACCGGTGGTCCTGGTTGATACGGGATCTGCAATCAATGTATATCCATTACGAACGGCGTATGCTATCGGGTTGAAGCTTGCAGATTTCACACTAACAGCCTAGGTGATGCGGGCATACGACAACACCAGTCGGGAGGTGATGGGGACGGTACAGATTAAAACTCAGGTTGGCCCGGGGCAGCAGGACATTGAGTTTCATGTCTTAGATGTTCCAACTACCTTCAATCTAGTCCTTGGGCGGCCATGGTTGCACCAGGTGAGAGTCATCTCTTCCACTTTACACCAGATGCTAAAGTACCCCCAGGATTATGACAATCGCCAATCACCGTTCGATGTCAATAAGAAGGTAAATGTGAATAATTCAAGCAACTCAAATCAGGAAAGTGGCACCAGGCCGACATGTACAAATTGCGGGAAGCCACATTTTGGGGTTTGTTATCGGGTATCTGGAGCATGTTTTGAATGCGGTGAGATGGGTCATCGTATTAAGGATTGCCCTAAGGCAAAGGCTAGAGATGATAAGAAGAGATGAGAATCCGACATCCGGAGTTGTGCGGGGACAAAGTAAGTTAAGTTTGGGGACCAAACTTCTTTAAGGGGGGAAGGATGTAACAACCCTCACTTTATCTTAGTCATGCTCACGTGCATTTGCATAATCCTTGTCTTGATTAAACTTGCATTTTTGCAGACCTTGATTTGTTTTGTTTAAGTGTTTCTTGCATGCTTTGTTCATTGTTTGGTGTGTGTGTTAAGCCAAGGTCATCTTAAGCCTAGGTTATACCTCTGAACCTCTTACACCTAGGACCATCTTGGAACCACTTTGGTTGACCTCCACCTTCACCCTGGCATATTGGCCGAGATGTGACTATCTAGGCCGAGGTGTTCATCACCAAGGCTGAGATGTTATCCTTGCACCTAAGTGATCTTGTTCTTGGACTGGAATGACCTAGACCGAGGTGTGGCACAGCTAGGCCAAGTGTTATCCTTCCTAGCCGAGATCATTGAGACCTTATTTGCCGAAGCCTTTGTCCTAACTCGAGGTCATTACCTGCCGAAGTGCCTTTGTCACCTTACTTATTGAATACACTTTGTCATGCACTTTTCTTGTCAGTCAGTCACCTTTTGAGGAGAACCAACTAGCCATTGCCACATGTCCCAATGGAGGGTTAAGTCAGCCGGTAGAGTGAGAAAGCACATCATTTGTTGTATCTTTGTTCTAGAAGAGAGAGAAGCTCTAGGAAGAGAGGGAGAGGAGTTCTTGAGAGAGAAGTAGATTTCCAAGCTTGATCCTTAGAGTTTAAACTGTTTGATCCATGTTTTGAGGTTAGATTCCTGATCTACTCTTGTTGTTCTTTATATTGATCCGATCACATTGCATGATCTAGCAGGATTCATGAGCCATGCATTGATTTAAAGCTTGTTTTAGAAAGAGAAAATGATGTTCTTGTGTTCTTCAAGAAAAACCATGTTTTGATTCGAAAGTTTGTATCAAGATCCATGTTTTTGTGTTTGTTTTCATAAGATCTTCAAGTATGGGTACCAAGGTCCATATTTTTGAACTCATAGCATGAAATCTCAAATTTTGTAATAACAAGTTAGGATTTTAGCATTCATGTTCCTGTTCTTCATGTTCTTCAAGGAAGGAAACCCAAATTTCCAGACTTCACCTTTCCCTAGGTGTGGTCACCGAGACCACTCTTGCCTAGATCTCACATTTAGGCCGAGCATCGTATCTCACCTTGGCCTACCTTGCATGATCACTTGCACCATTAGTCTATCTTGCATGAACACCTCGGCAGTCAGCCGTTCGCCGAAGCCTTGGTAACCACACCTCGGCCAAGAGGTGTGGGACCTCGGCAAAGACCTGGTTGGTACCCAGCATGTTTTTCCCAAGATGAAAAATAGTGTTTTAACTTTCAGCATGTTTTGCTTTGACTTGACCTGGTTTTGAAAAAAATGCCGAAAACATTCACACTCATGAAAAGCTTGTTTTAAGAATGCATTTCATACCCATCTTTGAGCATCCCCCCGTCTTCTTGAAGTGCATTCAGTAGACTCTATTATGTGTTTGTAGGACTTGGACTCTTACTTTAACCTCGACGTCTGAAGAGCTATGTGAGTGGTATTTTTAATAAAGTTATGTTATAAAGTTTTGCTTCGTTTTAGAAAAGTATTTGATCAAGCATGAATGATTATCCCTAATTTTGTATCAAGTATTATATTTGTTTTGATGACATTCTGGGAAAGTCCTTAGTGCCAGGGGACTATAATGCAACTGCACCCTTGTTTTGAAAGCCCTTAGTGCCAGGGGACTATAATGCAACTGCACCCTTGTTTTGCCATTGACGGTTTTTCGCGTGGGTTTGTTTGTCCGGAATGTCATCGTTTGGTATTATGTAGATGTTATTAACATCCAAGAAGCTTTGAAAGACTTTGATTGATGAACTTGGT